CCAGCCAAATATTGCCCATCTGTGTCCCATCTCTGCTCTGGCTGGTCCCCTGGCCAGGAAGTTCCCGTCTTCCCTAACTCTGCATGGGTAAGCACTACCCACAACGAAAATTTATTTATTTATAACCTGCCTCCTAAAAATTACTGAAGGGAGCTAAGTCATTCTCCTGCAGGCCCTACCCAGCTTACCTTCTATTTCCTCGTAGAAGCTTCCTTGCACACCACGCCCCCCACCCCGTACTGCATAGAGGTGAGACTTACCGCTTCCTCCTCTTATCTCCCAATGAATTTTATTTTTTAAGACTACTGTGGCACCTCTCCTGATGTCTCTTGTTTACCACTCCTTTCTCTTGTCACTTGATTTCCCCCCAGCTGCCACCTACTGTTCCTGACCTGGCTCTCTTCAAGAATAGGCAGCACCTCTGACTTGTCTTTGTAATATTTATAGAGCCCAGGCGGTGTCTAGCATGTAGTAAGTGCTCAGTAAATGTTTTCTGAGTGATTGGAGCCAAGATGACTGCCCGCTCCCTCTCCTGGTCCTGGGGGGCCTGTCATGAGGCGAGATGGTCAGCCCCACTAACTGGGGCTACAGGTGACAAAGGTGTGCCCAGGCACACTGTCAGGTACCTGGGCTCTCAGACTCTGTGGTTCTCCAGAGTGGACCAAGTCAACAGCCTGATGGGGACCCCTGTCAGGGATCAGGTATCCATCACCCAGGCTAAAAAAAAACCCAGCAGGAAGGTGGGCAGAGGTTGTGGCAGGTGGGCTGCCCAGGAACAAGGCTGGCACGAGTGCCCTGGTGCCCAGCATCCTAGGCTGACACTGTCAGGGCAGAAGTGAGGGGCCTGGGGGGAACGTTCCTCATTCCCAAAGCCCAGCTGCCTGACTGTTCCTACCTGCTCTTCCTCCAACTCTCCAAAACAGTCCAAGTTTATATTAGCCCCTACCCACTTTACACCCAACCCCAAAAGGTGACAAACGAACACCTCATCATTCAGGGACAAGATGCTCAAAGGCAAATGTTGGTCTGTTAGATCCAGAGAGGAAAACACAAAACCCAGGAGGAAAGAGAGGAGCCTCAGGGCAGGCAGGGTGAGAGGACACCCTCTGCCCTTGGCCTGACACCCCTCTGGCTTCCTGAGGAAGTGGAGGGGCTGCTCTGGGGCATGCTGGCACTGCCCTCCTGGGGGGCTGGGGAAGGCAGGGCACCAAGCACCTGGGCTCGGCTTCCTGGCTCTCCCTAGCCCAGGTGGTGCAGGACCAGAGTCCTGCCCTCATTCTGAAGCCTGTCATGTCCACCGACCAGCTGGTCCCAGGCAGCTCCTGGGCTGAGAAGCCGGGGACCTTCAGAAGAAAGAGGGAACTGACCTCTGCATTTTCTGCCTAGAAAACCTTGGTTTCATTCCTCTGCAGGGACCAGGGGACATGTAGTCTTTCTTTTTGTCCTACGAAAGTCTGACAGTGAGCAAAAAAAAAAAAAGAGAGAGAGAGCAGGCTCAGATGTAAGCAATTCTGGGGAGTGAGGAGACAGGAGCTGTAATTTGAAGGGAGAAGTAAGGGAAGGGACAGGAAGAGAGCAGAGGGGCCCCCTCTGAGCCCTCCCACGTCAAAAGCCTTCTCCAGGCAGAAGCCACAGGAGGCGGCTGAGGCAGTGGTACAAGTACAGACGTGGACTCGAGAGACCTGGCTTTGGATCCGAGTTCTCCCACCAGCGTGGTCTCCCAGCGTGACCTTGAGCAAGCCCCTCCGGGCCTGTTTCCTACTCTGTAAACTGGGGTTAATAATCCCTGCCTCACGTGGGCCAGATGAGATATTAGAAGAAAGCAGAGATGTTGTCACACCTGACACATAACAGATGCTTCATCAATGTGAAAACCCAGCTCCAGCTGCCTTCTTGGGGCAGTGGGGATCCTGTGTGTTGCATCCTCTACTTAGAAGGAAACATCGTGGGAAAACTCAGTCCAGCTACTGATTTAGCCAAAGCAGGACTATCATCCTTATGAGGGCTGACAACTGAGCTAAAGCCAGCCCAGCCCCTGCAACCTCTGCAGAAGGGTGGGGGTGAGGAACGGGAGTGTCCTGGGGTCTCATTCATCAGGCCTCTGGTCCGCCCTCAGAAAAGGAGGAAGGCCTGATTCTAGAGCTCTGGATGCTGCCAAAACCACCAATGGTCCCCCTTAGTCTGAGAAGCCACCTTGGCTATTGCTCAGCCCTCACCTTACCTGGGACTGAGGACAGTGGGCAGGTGGGGACAGGACCAGCTCCCAGGTCAGGCCACAGAAATGAAACCACAGCATGACCGCCCAGGGGGCCCGGCCACAATGAAGGGAACAGGGGTGAGCACCCCTTGCCTGAACTAAAAGGCTCCCCGGGCCAGGCTGGTAGCTAGGCAACAGGCTCCCACAGTCAGCTCAGTTCACTTTCCATTTGTATCTGGTTTGCTCCTGTCGTAACGCACTACTCAAACCAGATGCTGTGTGAAGAGACACCTGGGGCAGAGTGCTGCTCCTCCGCCCTATTGGCCCTCAGTGAGGGCCTCAAGCCCACAGCACTGCATGTCCCTCCCAGGGAAGGTATGCACACAACCAGGGGACAGAGTGGAAAGGGCACCGCCCCAGAACCCCTGCATCTCAAACCCTTAGGCCTGGAGCGGTAAGACAGTGTTGCTTCTGATGTCACTGTCTGCCCCTGGGTTTTCTGATGTCATCCACAGGAGGCACCGATCCTCAGAACACCTCCCAGGCTAGACTAAGAAAGGAGCCACCTGTCCACTTAGAAAACAGCCTCCTTTAGCGGATGGAACATATTGTAATGGGAAGAGCAGGGGCTTGGAAGTGGGGAGCCCTGTCTTTGATTAACAGCCCATCACTATCTGGCTGTGTGATCTCAGGCAAGTTGTTTACCCTCTCACAGCCTCAATCTATTAAATAGGGATAATATCTTGGCTGTAAATTTATTGAGAGGATTAGAGATTAATGCAAAGTACCTGCATGGAGTGCTCAATAAATAGCAGTTGTTATTAATTTTTTTAAATTATGTATTTTTGTTTGTGTCCCAGAAACAACCGAAGGTTTGCCTTCACCTGTGCTCCCTAGCAGGGGTAAGTCCTCCTGGTGACATGACTGCCACCAGAGCCCATACAGCTGTGCACAGCAGTCTCAACAACCAGAAGGCTGGAAACTAGGGGTGGTTTGCTGGCTCTGCTATTATAATAGTTCAGTGTCTCTGACAAGACACTGAACATCTCTGGTTTCTGCATCGCTTCAATGGGAAGGATCAACATGTCCAGCCCCAAACTTCCGACCTCAGCCGGAATGCCCTGGCTGATGTGACTCCACACCAAAAGGGCAAAGGATCTTGGGCTCCTGGAGGACTTCAAGGGGCCCACCAGGCTCTGAGCTTACTCAGAGCCCCCTAGCCCCTCAACTCTTCAATTAGTTGAGAAGAAAATAAACTCACTGATGGTATGCACCTTGGAATCCAAGAGGGTAGAACCTGAGAGGGTGGTATGTGCCCCAGAAATCCCAGAATGCTCAGAAATAGGGCCTAGTCCCCCCAGCCACCTCATCTCATTCCTGCCTTCCTGACTTGCCGTCTGTCCCCATCTCTATCAAGCTAAATCTCACTCCTCCTCCCTGCCCTGGTCTAGCCTGGCCCCGGCCTGCAGCACTATCTCCCAATCTCCTGCCCTCCCCTGGGGGGAGGAGGGAGTGGAAGTTTTCCTTCCAAGACCAGGTTGAGGCCCAGCACAGGAGGTGCTACGGAGAGGGGCAGGGCTCTGAGACTCATTAATATGACAACTTGGGATGCCAGAGGTGATAGGACCAGCTTCCACAGCAGGAGGCGGTCCCCAGACCCAACACCTGATGTTGTTCTTTCCTGCCTCCCAGGCAGACCCCAGCCAGGTTTCAGGCTGCCAGCTATGAGATTGGACACCAGCCCCTAGGGTTCTCTTTTTTAAAAGAATCTAAATCCATCCTTCAGGGATTTTTCTAGCTTCCCAAGTATGTCTCCCCAACTACCCACTTCCACCTAAGGGGGTTCGGGGAAACTGAATTGACTTGGGGAGGGGGTGGTGGGAAGGCACTAGATCTTGCCTGAATCAACCTAAGCCACCCACCCACCCCATACACCCATTTCAAACAGTACCCTGAACTAGGGCTTTCTGGGAAGCCAAGCTGTGCTGCAGAAGAAAGAAAAGCAGCAGCAACAAATCTGGGCTCATCACCAGGCAGCCACACCGGCTATGGGAGCCTGCAGGGCCCAGACGTTAGGCCTCTCCTGCCTAACTCTCCCCTCACCCCAGCTGAGGCGAGGACATCCCAGGTGTCCAGGAAGCCTTAGGGGCTTGGCATGGGTCAGGATCTTGACTTATCGCTCTGAAAAAGGCCTCTCCCAAACCTGGACGACAAGCCTGTATTCTGGTCCCGGCTGTTATGAGAAGCCGAAGCCAGTGTCTCCTTCTCTAAAACTCCTAGTTCCTAGCACACTAAGCTACTGGGAGGATTTAAATGAGATGGCCCATATGGAAGTAGCTCAGGCAAGAGCCTGTCAGAGTAGGCGCTTAACACAGGCACTTAACACACTCTCATTTTCTTCCCCTAAACCTTGCCTGACCCCAGCAGAAGGCCTAATTTCACCTCTCCAGGACTCTGGCCCTGTGGAAGAATGGGGGGTAAATGAAGACAGGTGGCCTGTGCAGAAAAAGGAGTGGAAAAGCTCAGCTAAGGGCACCCCACTCCCTGGGAGGGGATGCAGCAAAGTAGGCAACTGGGATTAGGTCTGAAGAGTTAAATCAAGTGTGTGCAATCTTCTGATGAGGCCTGCAGGGAAGCGTGTGTGGGGTGTGATTCCCCTGGGGGCCCATGAAAGACAGGGGGAATTGAGAGGGAATTGGTGGAAAGGTAAATCTGTCTGGTCTGAGTCCTCCCTGCCCCTACCCCACTACCTGCATGCACCCCGTTGCAGACCCCAAAGGAGACCCAGTGTCCTGCCACTCACCCTGGCCGCTCTGGAGGAGTAGGGATCCTCAAAGAGCGCCCACATGCGGGGTTGCCAGCCGCGGCAGCCCCCGGACCCTGCGCCAGGGCCTGCGCCTCCGTCATGGGGCCCCAGGCGCTGCAGGGCCAGCTCCCGCTCATCGTCGCCAGCCTCATCGCCCGGCCCTGCGCCACCACCGCCTCCGTCCGGGCTCTCGAAGATGTCCAGTGCCTCCTCGGCGTCGCGGTGCTGCCGGTAGGTCATCCAGCAGCAAGGCTCCACGTCAGTTTCGTCGATGCCCCAGAAGGTGAGCTCCTCCTCGAAGAGCGGCCCGCACACGTCGGCGGGGCAGTGCAGCTTGCCTGTGCGGTAGTAGTTGAGCACGTAGGCAAAGACGCCCGGGTGCCGGTCGAAGAAGAACTCGCAGCCCCCACCGCCGCCGCCGCCGCCGCCACTGCTGCCGCTGCTGCCCGCGCCTCCGCCATCCGACTCTGGCCGGCCCCCGCCGTCGGGATCCGCCAGCCAGGCGAGGCGGGTGCCCGGTAGGGTGCGCAGGGTGCTGCGGTAGGTCTCATGTCGCGTGCCGCCCACGTTGATGATGATCTTCTCCGACGCCTCGCCCTTGGCCATCTCCTCCTTCAGACATGTTTTGGACGGAGGCTTGTTCCCAGACTTGCGCCCGCGGTAGGAGGAGACACACACCGAGCTGATCATAAGAAGCGCTGCGGGGCTTCGGCTTGGGGCGGCCGCTGCCCTCCAAACACCCTTCCCAAGGAGGCAGCGTCAGACGGGAGAGGGGGAGGAGACGAGGAGGCAGGAGGCAGCGGTGGCCCCTCTGCGGTGTGGCCTTGTCCCTGCCTCCCCCCGGGGCGCGGAGCAGGAGTTGGGTTTCTCCGGTGCACAGGTGGTTAGGGTTTGGGCCGTCAGCGCCGGGGAGGGAGGCAAGAGGGGGAAAGGAGAGCCGAGGACCACTGCGAGGGGCCGGGGAAGGCAGGGTTAGCACACACACACGCTCCCCCGCTAGGACTGGACACTCAGACGCTCCGGCCCGGGACACGCCCCCTCCCCCCCCAAAAAAAGACCAGGAAGCGCACAGTCCAGGCGCTCTGCGAGGGGCGGGGGCGCGAGGGCGTTCACACTCACAAGGGCCACCCTCCGGCTTCCTGACCCCGCCGAGCCCCGGGAGCAGCCGGCTTCCCCGCGGCGGCGGCGGCGGCGCAACAGCAACAAGTCCTCCGAGCGGCTGCCGGGGCCGGGCCGACGCTCTCACGGCAGCCGGAGCTCCGCTGGCCCAGGCTCCGTGCGGTCAACACGAGGCGGCGGTGGCGGCATGTGGCCTCTTCCCCCCATTCATAAATCCAGCGCAGGGCATGGGTGGCGGGCGGGGCTGAGCGGAGCGCGGCGATCTGGCGGGCGGGGGCTGCGCAGGGCGAGGCCGCGGCAGGAAAACAAGCGTGCCCGCAGGAGGGAGCCTCTGGTCTTGCGTCCGCGGCTTGGCGGCGGCTGGGAACAGCGCTGGGCTGGGCGCAGCACGGCGAGGGCCGCGCTGGGGCGGAGGGGCCTCAGACGGGGCGTCCTGCGCTGCGCCGAGCCCGGGGGGCGGGGCCGCTCGGGGGAGCGGGGCTCTGGGCACCGGCGAAGGAATCTCCCGGGAGGTGGCTGGGCGGCCAAGGACACCTGCAGGCTTCCCGGGCTGCGCGGAGCGGGAGCCTCAGCGCAGCGCCCCGCCGCCGGGCTCCTGCGATCTGGCGGCGCTAGGAGCCACGCCATCCACACGTCTGCCCATCTCCGGGTGGGGCGCCAGCCTTGGCTCGTAGCAAGGGGCAAGCGAGAGGTGGCCAAAGGGAGGGGCACCTCGGCGCTTGTGGGCTGAGGTCCAGGGGGCGCACCGTCTCTCTCCAGCGATGCTAGCGGACGCTACAGCACCGTGGCGCCTTTTCCTCCGGGCCCCGCCTCGCCCGGGCGCGCCCTCAGCGGGGCGGGATGGGCGGGGCGTGGCACGGGGTCGACCCGGCTCGCTGCAGGGCCCCAGCGAAGGATCTCAGCCTTCCTCCGCTGAGCCGGGCCCAGCCGAGGCGCGTAACCCCCTCGCCGCCAGTGCCCAGCCCAGCGCGCCGCCCCTGCGCGCCTCCGCCATCGTCCCCACTGCCAGCTCCCCGCCTCCCCCGAGCCCGCAGCTCCTCCCACTGCAGCCCGGGTGACTCTAAAGCGCCCTCGACCCCTGACCTCTAACCTTCATTCGCTCTTTCTGACTGTTCCAGTCGCCCCTCCCAGCCAAGCTGATAGCATTGTTGTGGTTCCGTTGCGGTTTCATTGCGGCTGACTGGAGGCGGCGTGGGGGTGCGGGGAGGAAGTGAGTTGAGAGAAGGTGTCGCGAAGAAGAGGTTTCCCACTCCTGCCCCAGACACCGTTTTGAGGCCTCTTGACCACCCCGCCCCCATCCTGTGTCTTGGCGGCCCAACCAGGCCCAAGATGCCTGTGGTCCTAATGCTTCACAGTCACCGAAGCCCCTGCGGAGGAATGGGGGAACTGGCAGGCTCCTGGTCTGGGTGGCAGGAAGCTGGAGTCCTGGCGCTGTCAGTGTGGGGTGGGTGTCCCTGAGAGATCAAATTAAGCCAAGACTATAGAAAGTGCCCATGTACTTGCTTTGTAACCTCCTGGTTCTACTGTTGTCTCACTCATTGCAATTTGACTTTGCCTTTTTTATGTCTTGTCCCCCCCGCCCCCCACTCCTTCTGACCCTGAGCTCTCCCAGGCCCACTGTTAGCTCCCACAGTGCCTGCCTCTGAGAACTTGTTTGCTAAGTGATTGAGAAACTGCCATGCCCAAAACATTAGGCACCAATCAACTTTACTGGCCTCATCCCAAGAGCAATTTCCAGATTCATTTGTTTTTATTTATTTTTAAGTCCAGAATCTCTTCTACATCTTTAAATTAATCCTCATTTTTTTTACAGCTTCAGGCAGCCTCCATGTCCATTTTGATGATGTAAGGAGGATCTCACAGGTGCCCTGGGCACCTGGGCACTGTCTGATCTCAGACAGTACCTGGCCATGTTGGGAAAAACAAGACAAGGGCCTGGGGGTGCTCAGAGGAAAGTTTAAAATCCCAGTGCAAATTCAGGGGATTATTATAAGCAAAAGTCTCAATCAATAATGAAGTCAGACAACCAAAATGACGATGATCTTGGATGAGCTGTACTAATATGCAGAGGAGATGGGTACCATCCTGGACTGTGGTCAGAAACACATTTACGGGCACCCCTTTTGTGTGCAGTCACCCCCACCCCCTTGGTCCTGTTATCTGCATTTGAGAGTTTAGTTTTGAGTTTGCTGCAGCAAAAAAGAGAAGACTCAGGACTGACCAGAAGTCCGAGTGAGGAAGGAAAAACCACAGCAAGGATATTAAAGAATTGACTGGAACAAATAGCTTTAAAGTCCTATCTGGTTGTGTCCTGGCGAACTCCCTTGGGGTCTTTATCTCATTTTCCATTCTTCAGGCTGGCTTAACTCAGTCATTCCAAGAAAGGGAGAGGTTGGTGGGAGTGAGGTGGGAGAGATGAAAAAACCATCCCAGCATCTCACGCCTGAGTCATTTGTTCATTCAAGAAGTATTTCTTGAGTGCCTACTATGTGCCAGAAGCTGTTCCAGGCACTGGGAATCAATGAATAAGATAGAACCCCACCTCCCATCCTTGCCCTAGTAAATCTCTGCCTTCTTGGTGCTTCCATTCTGCAGTGTTTGTGAATGGTGATAGGCATGTGGGGAGATGGAGGGAGGGAAAAAGCTGCCAGGGAAAAGGAAGCCTGGAGGAGAGGTCAGAAAGCTAGAAGGGTGGGGTGTAGAACACAGGAACAGCCAAGGAAACCAGAGGGCCCAGTCTTGGCGAGGCAGTATGGTAAAGGTGCCCTGGGTGGGAGGGCCGCTGACTCGGCGCCCTCACCAGCTCCTGGAGAGGGAAGCTCAATCTCAGGCCAGGGGCCTCCACAGAAGGCCACATCACCTGCTGAAGATTTTATTCTAAAACTCTGGGCTAACCAGTTGCCTGGGCCTTTCTGGAATTTCCTGGGGGATTCAGTATGCTGTAGCTGGCATTACAGGGCTTGTCCCCATCAGTTCTATGTGTATGAGGTCATGCTATTTCCCCAAAGCACAGAACCCAGGAAGGACAGGGAGAGCCCCCTGGCTAGCCTGCAGTGTGACAGTCTACTATGGATGAGTAGGTGCTGCCCTCTGGTGGTGCTAGGAGATCCTGCTCCAGACATCACCTCAGCCCTGGACTGTGGTAATGAGGAGAAACAGGGGCTGATAGGCCTGGGGTGGCAAATGATTCTGGACCTCCTGTTAATTCCAGGACCTCAGGTATCTCTCCCATCTGGGGTCTGCCTGCTACCTCCTTTTTCTATTCATCCATGACCTTGATAACTGACAGGCTTAAGCAAAACTATGAAGCAGTTGCAGTTGGAAATTCCTAATTCCCCAAGTTTCTTTCATCGCATTATCACCTTTTATCCACATTTGTCCTTAGGGTGCCAGCAGTTTCTTCTGGCAATCAGGAAAGAACACCTGTTTGGGAGCCAGTTCATGCTAAAGTGTCACCACAGTGGGTTTCCCTCACCAGGAATAAAAGTGGAAATAGAATAGGAAAAGAGGGCAATGTTTGATCCCAGAGTGACACTGATGGGGAGCTGTCAAGGGCCTGTAGCCTTTCTAGAGCCCCTCAAGTCAGGCCTTTGCTCTGTGAAAGCTAAGGCTGATCCCGGTGGTGGGAAGCTTGAAAGTCTGTCATCAAAGCCATTCACCCTTCCCCTTTCCCTATAGGGGCTTGGTGTGGGGTTCGGCCATTTTGGGGTGAAGGAGCCATCCAGTCTCTCCATCTTCCTTCTTTTGACTCTGCTTGTTTTGAGGGGCTCCAGGCATTGGAGCAGGTCCCATGGCTGCCAAGGCAAGGTCCTATCTATTGGTACCCATGCCTTCCTCTTTCGGCATTCCAGCTCCTGCCAGGGACTGGCCCCTTCTTCCTCAGGTCAAGGTCAAGGAGCCAGCACCCTTTTCCTGCCTGCCCTGCTCCCCAGCCTGGTTAATTGAATCGTTTTATCAGCATCATCACTGAGCAGGCCAGGAGGAGGGTGATAGGGCCTTTCCCTTCAGGGAGGGGAAGGAAGAGTGAGAGGAGGCTGGAAGCCGGGTTTGCTTATCAGTTTGTTCAACCCTGCCTCCCACCCCTAGCCCCAGGCAGCCTGCAGAGACTTGCAGACTCCCAATCAAATGCTAAGAGCCTTCCCAGGAGGGATCTGGGGAAAACCCAGCCACAGAGACCAGCCCAAGGGGCCCTATGCAGGTCAGCTAGAATACCTCAGCACAGGCAGAAGGGCAGAAGGTAGGGTTGAGTTGCTGTGAAAATTCTAGTGAAGGTATATTTGGGGCTCTGGGGAACTCCAAAGATGGCCTTTGATGGCCCAGCTCTTGAAAGGACCAGAAGGATGCAGGCCACAAACTCAAGCCTGGCCTGGATTCAAAGCCTTATAAACCACGGACTTGGAGTCAAAGGGCTGGAGGGCACTGAGTGCCAGCTCATAGGTACATTCTCTTTGAGAGATTTCAGGCCCAGAGCAGCAGTGAGCTCTGGGAGACTGAGCTAGGCCTGGGATTGGGCCAAAGGCAGAGAATGACATAGGTGTCCATGTGGTCTCTGCATGTTGAACAGTGTTCATGGAGATCTCCAAACCAGGGCCAGCTAAGTGACATTCCCCCCCGCTCCAAGAGCCCTCCTTGCTCAAGGCTGCTGGGGTAAGACCCAGCCTGGGTCCAGAGAGCACACACACGTACACACATGTACATTATCTCAGAGCCCAGCTGGCAAGACTCCTCAGCACTCAGCATTTCTCCATCTAGAAAAGTACAGATTCCTCCTACCTGAGTTAAATTCCAGCAAAACTGGTTCATTCCTTTAAAATAGCTAATTAGTCCTGATGGGCCCAGTGTCCTCCAGCAGTGTCCTGGGGAAAGAGGAAGCAGTTGTCTGGAGAGGCAGATTAAACACTGGCTTCTCTTGGATGCTTCAGAAGCCCAGGGCCCCGTCACTGCTTGGATCAGCCCTGGGAAGAACGGAGACCCAGCACCCAGCCAGCTTCGACCCAGCAAAGCACAGGGTGGATCTACGCTGTCTTTCTGTTCCACAGCTGGCACTGCCACTGGCATAGAGTAACCCTAACAATGGCTGGTTTGTTGTTGAGGGACAGACATAAATTTCTCCCCGCTTCCCAGGTTTCTTCCCATGTAAGCCAAAGTAAGTAAAGAACGCAGCAGTCAGTGTGCCTGGGACCAGAGCGTATGACAGTGGCAGGACGTTCCAAGTCAGGTTATGGCTGCGACCGCTGCCTGAGCCTTCTCTGTATATTCCCAGTGCTTAGCACAATCTTGGGCGCTCAGAACACTCAGTTCATGCTTGGAATTAATGAGGCAGTGGGATGAGGGAGAGAGAGGGTGGGAGTCCTCCCTGTCAGCACCTTGCTGTACTGAAGGGTGTACTGCATTGGGAGTCAAGAACACAGGCTTTGGCCCTGGTTTTCCCCCCTGCTTGGCTGTGGGAATTCTAGGTAGATCTTTCCCCACTGCCATGCCTGTTTCCTCAAATATTCTACGAGAAGGTTGAGCCTGGTTGTGGTTACTATTGCTGTGAAACAAATTACTCCCACAATTTAGTGTTGCAAACACAACAAGCATTTTATTTGGCTCATGATTTTATGGGTCAGGAAGTTAGGAAGGGCTCAGTTGGACAGTTTGTGCTTAGGGTCGCCTGTGCGGCCGCAGTCCGGTGTCAGCTGGGGCTGCGGACATCTGAAGCGCAGCTGGGCTGAACATTCACCATGGCACGTTCACTATGGTGTGCTCCCATGGCTGGCAGTTGATGCAGAGGCTGGGAATTCAGCTGAAACTGTCAACCGAAGCACAGGCCAAACACGGCTTCTCTAGCACAGGCAGTCTCAGGGCAGTTGGACTTTTTACATGGCAGCTGGGTTCCCCCAGAACCAGTACCCCTAGAATGCCTCAAAAGTCACAGAGCATCACTCCCGCCATTATTCTGTTGGTCAAAGGAGGCATTTGCTCTCCCAGATTCAAGGGGTGAAGCATAGGCTCCACTCCCTTGAAGTGTTAAAGAATTTGGGGGTCTTTTTCTTTTTTTTTTTAAACTTTATTGGGGAATGATGTGTTTTTTCAGGGAACAATGTGTTTTTTCCAGGACCCATCAGCTCCAAGTCAAGTTGTCCTTCAATCTTAGTTGTGGAGGGCGCAGCTCACTGGCCCATGTGGGAATCGAACCGCCAACCCTGTTCCTCAGAGCACACGCTCTAAATAACTGAGCCACCTG